ACAAGCACTGATATTTGTTTCAGATAGTACAAAAGGATATTCTGACAAAAAAAAATAGGATACTTACACCAATAAATCAATACTTCCTTTAACCCATTTATTCCAGATTGCCACTTCTAAGCTTCTGCCTTGACTTGTTCCCTCCACTGGGCTCTTGCAAATCATAGGCTACTCATATTCTAAACCCACTTGTTGCATCGGTTGAGATGAGTTTTTGATGAGTTGGCAAAGACAAGGAGGAATGACCTTCCAGATCAGAGGAATGATTATCAGAAGACAAAGACAGAATGGTAGGATTACGGAATTACGGAATCACAGAGTTATAAATATCCCAAGTTGAAAGGGGCCCACTAGGATCATTGGGTCCAACTCCTGGCTCCACACAGGACCACTAAAAATTCAAATTATATGTCTAAGTGTGTTATTCGCAAGCTTTAGCGGGCCTGTAGAATTATAGAATGACCCACATCTCCAAGCCTTCCTCCATGCCTTCAATTAAATTGCTTAACAGAGTTTTAGTTCTCTCATGGCAAGGGGTGACAGTACTTCTCTACTTCCCTTCAGAATTTTTCACATGGTACAGTGATGCTTAGAGTTCAAGCACCTGAATGACTAGATAGCTCCAGTCACAATTTCTGTATCTGTCCTGATACACACCCCTAGAGCTATGAAGTCAATTACATTTTTACTGATGTCTCCCTGTCATGTTAGTTTTCTAAGTGCTTCTCCAACTCTTCTTTGGAAGTTTTCCACTGTTTCAGGCTTTTCTGTTGCTTCCAAGTTTAACCTATGCAAGATTATAAATCAGATTGCAGCTAGTGGTAACAGACATTTTACTTTTTCCCTATTTTCAAATGCAGAAAATGAGCTCCTTGAAAATTAGAGCTAGTCAGCAGACCCTTTTATTCTCTTCAAACCATTGTCTGTAGGCAGTGCATAGCAAACATTTACTGTGGTTTGTCTCAGATATTTCAGTAGTGAACTGCTGCTACCTAGAATGAATATGACACATACAGAATTAGACAGGACTTCTCACTGCTCCATCACTGAAGGTAATTTAATCTTTCCTATTGCAGTTTTCCTATTGCAGAGTCATTCACGGGATGTTTTTTCCATCCCAAAGTCTCCTGGGACAACAGTAGAAGATAATTGCAGGCCACATCTCAGTTCAAAAATCCTATTTATTTTCATGTGGGGTTAAGATGCAAGAGAGAAGTCCTAAAGGTGAGGTACAATGACGCAAGTGACTTGAATTTACTCTGACCGGGCATATTGTAGAGGTACTGATATTATTTTTTCTATGACATAAAGGCAGCAAATTTCTCCTTTGGTTTTTGAATAAAGGAATTTAATTTAGTTTCCAAAAGCAAAAACAGAACAAAATTATCTTAGTATCTTAGTAATTTTTTCCATACAGAACAAGCTGTTCCACTATAAATAGGTTGCTCCAAAAGTAATATTGCTTATTACCATGAAAACTACAACACATACCATGAGCATGGTAACAGTTTGATAGAGCAAACTGTCAGTGTTCTGTAACACTATTTTTCAACATTGTGAAGGATAAGGGATGAAGCTGTGATGTTTCTCTTGCTTCTCAGCACA